GGGGTCTGAGATGCTCTCTTCCATGAATGTTTGCTGGAAAGAAGAAAATGCACACACACACACACACACAGTCACAAAGGTATACTGGTCTCTGAAACAGCCCTGGGGAGCTTTTACTAAATATATCTGCATGGGCCTCACCCCTCTGCAGACCTCACGGATCAGTATCTCTGCAGCTGAGGCTTAGAAATTGTATATATTTTTAAAGTCCCTCTGGTGAGTTCTGAGAAGCACCCAGACCAAGGGCCCCTTAGTGGAGGAGGCTGTGCAGCGCGGCTTCCACCAGGCAAAGGCAGCCTCTCGTGCCCGTTATTACACAGCTCTTCCCTAAATATCTTTGTTTCAGAGTGGTCTAGGCTTCACATCTGCATAACCAAAAGGCCTGTTCAAGAGATTTCCCCAGAACAGAGGAGTCATCTCTGCTCAAAGATGAATTGCTGTTTTGACTTCTACTGAAATTTGAACCTGCAGAAAGCTTTGCTATTATGAGGTGTCTCTCTCTTTCTCTCTCTCTAACACACACACACACACACACACACACACACACACACACCCTCTCCCACACTCTTACAAGACACACTTTATTACATATGTATGTGTAGCTTATCGTCTCTAGAAGTTTATAAGCCATAATCTTTAGGGCAGTTGACTTGGATTGTCTTTTGTGGGATTTGCATTAGAGGAAGCTTTCAGTGTTTCATTTCAACAATGAGGGAAGTATTGCTGCAGGTCTTTGGTTTAACAAATAAATCTGTCTTGAGGCCAGTGGCATTAGGAATCCTCACCATCATTTCAGAAAAATGGAGTGCCCAGTCTGCCCAGGTCTGCTCAGCGCTGCTTTCTTTCTTCTAGTTTCACCCTCTTAATTAAAAAAAAAAAAAAAAAGTTCTGCAGCCCTTTCTCTGCAAAGGGAACGGTTATAATTGAGGCCACTCCTCATGCAACACTGTACCTCATGGAAAGATAGGAGACCACGGAATGCAGGGCCTTAAAGTTTAGAATGAATCTCCGGTTTTGTCCTGGGTATTTTGGGCCTGCAAGTTTAACCATTCCACACCCCAGTTCATCTGCTTTTCTTGGCCCCTGCTCTTTTGATGGTCAGCTGAGAAATCCCGGTCATAGAATGTCTAAACTTCAAAATCGCAGGCCTCACTCAGGGACTCCAGCCCATCACATGGCCCAGCCTCAGGCTGATGAAGCATCACGAACTCGCACTTGACAGATGAAGCAATGGAGAGCTCGAGAAGCTTGGAACTGGCTCAAGATCACAGAGTGGAGGACGGCTGGAACCCAGGATGTCTGCCCTTCCCCTTAGACTGCAATGGTCTACATCCTTCCTGTGCAGACGAGTCCCCTGGGCAACCCCCAACCCAACCCCCTGGCTGGGGACCCGCGGAGCCCCTCCCCCTGAGCCCATTTACATCTCCGTTTGTTTTCAAGTCAAATCCTCGACTTCCCCCTTCCAACTAGTCCCCTCTCACAGAAAAATCCCCACGTAAAGATTCTGGAGTCTGAATAGTACTATCCACCAATACTGTTGTGAATTTGTTAAAATGCAGGTTCCCAGGCCTCTTATCCAGAGTGCGGGCTTCCACGGGTGTTTAGGGGAGCCCGTGAGCTTGCAGTTTGACATGCTGCCCCAAACGGTGCTGGTGTCCGTGGACCACACTTTGCGAAGCTGCCCCAGGGCCACCATATTAAATGAAGACTTCTAGAGTCCACTGTGCCTCACTCAGAGAAGATCTTCTCTTTGTAAAATGCACAAGGCGGGAGCTGGAGGCAGGTGGCCAGGGAACATTCTCTGAAGAGTTTCTGCAGCAGCTCCCACTCCAGCAGGGAGTAGCCACCTGCGATTAGCTGACAGGTGGGGGGCTTCGGAGGAAGGGCGGGAGGAGCTGAGCAGTTTGTGGAAAGGTGTCCAGTGAAACCCGGGGGAGAGAGCTTTAACCCCTGAACACCTTATTAAGGCTTGGAGCGCAGGGAGTGGAAAATGAGGTTCGGGGAAGGGATTGATTGAGATACAATTTACACATTTCAAGTGTACAATGCAGTGGTTTTTAGTAACTTCACAGTGGTGTACAATCATCACCACAATCCATTCTAGAACATTTTATCACCTCAAAAAGTAACCCATACACTTTACTGCTCCCCCTCCCCCCCAGTCAGCCTCTGCCCGCCCCCCCCCTCCGGCCCCAACCACTAATCTACTTTCTGTCTGTATGGATTTGCCTATTCTGGGGATTGCGTATAAATGGAATCATATAGTATGTGGCCTTTGGTGACTGGCTTCCTTTATTTAGCATAACACTTCCAGGGTTCTTCATGTTATAGCAAGTACAGTACTTCATTCTTTTTATTGCCAAAAATATTCCATTGCATGGATTACCGCATTTTGTTTATCCATTCGTCCACAGTTGGGTTGTTTCTATTTTTTGGCACACGTGAATCATGCTATTGGTGTATCAGCTTTTGTTTTCATTTCTCTTGGGTGTATACCCACGAGTGGAATTACTGGGTCAAGTGATAACTCTATGTTTAACTTTTGGAGGAATTGCCAGACTGTTCCAAAGTTCTCACTTTTATGTCTTTTAAGCCAACCTGAAACCCATGGCTCTGAATCATCCTCTAAGATTCCATTTATATACAGCTCAGCTTGATCAGGTGTAACTAAGGACTAACTGTAAGCGAGTGTTGGGGGATGCAGAGAGTCAAGCTTGGATTACAAAGTCCAACATTCAAATACTGAACAGTATATTTGGCATAATCTTAAAGGTTGAGGCAATGTTACTTGGATTCGTGTTTATGATAAGCAGAAAAAAAAAGAAGCTCACAGCTGTAGATGGGGCCAGTAACAACAACAAAAAAAAGGAAAACCTATAGTACGACAACTTGTAATCAGCAGCTTTGGAAAAGGTTTCGTGGCTTGAAAGTAGGGATTTTCATTACCTGCCTTCTCATCTGTTTCTGTATGGTCGTGCCCCCTTATATGTGGGAAATACGCTCCAATCTGCCCTAGTAGACACTGGAAACCACAGATAGTACCAAACCCTGTATACAGGCCTATGATAAAGTTTTACTTATATATTAGGCACAACTACAAAAGAACAATGATAGAAATATACTGTAGTAAAAGTTACGTAAATGTGGTCTCTCTCTCTTTTAAGATGTCTTATGTCCTGTACTCACCGTTCTTCTTGTGACGATGTGAAATGATAAAATGACTACACGATGAGACAAAGTGAGGGGAATGACGTAAGCATCGTGACCTGGTGTTAGGCTTCTATTGACCTTCTGATGATATGTCAGGAGGATTGTCTGCTTCTGGACAGCAGTTGACCGCGGGTAACTGAAACCACAGAAACTCAAACTGTGGATAAGGGAGGACTACTGTACAGGGAAAGAGACTTTAAAAATTTAAGGGTAAAGTACTTAGAAATACTTTAAAGTATTTAAGCATTAAACACAGAGAAGTATGCAAAATGAAACTGCACGAATTTTCTCAAAATGAACCTCACCCATGTAATGAGCACCTGCAGCAAGAAACAGATGGTTATCAGCTCTCCTGGAAACTTCCCTTTCCAGTCATTAACCATCCAAGGGGAGGGAGGATATCCAACTTCTGGCACCAACATTCCCAGACACAAAGAATACATTTTGATAGTACATTTCAGGTGTCAAGGACTGACCACTGGAATAGATTCATTAAGCTGGAAGAATTTCTCAAGACTCAGTCAGAAGTTTTATATTGCACAGTGCTGAAGATCTTAAAAATTAAATACCTTTAGGTTCGTGTATAAAATGAAAGGTATAAGCTCAACATACAAGAAGCTTTTAACATTACCTGCAATTTAAGAACATGTGCTGTAAGATGTTTTTAAAGTGCACGAAACAACATGCTTTCAACATTTATTTTAAAATACAGCTCCGTTTCTCCAGAGTTTGAAGTTTATTTCCAACAGCACTTTGTAAAAGAAGTCCTAGGGACTATTAATCACAGGTACTTTAATAATTCAAAAAGTGTATATGTAAACACACATGCCCACTGGCAATGCCTCACATTGTGGGTTGGAGTAAGTAAGGACCAAAATAAATACAGCTTTTGCAAGCAGAGCATAAAAACAGATACACATTTCCCTGGGTTTATTGTGCAGGAGGTTAAATACCCCCACCTTACTGATAAAATGAACTGCCTAATATTGAGACTGACATGCTGCAAAGCGACACTGCCCTGTTTCTGAACCTGGAAAAGAAAAAAAACCATTATAATGGGTTCACGTATAAGAGCGCTTTCGAAACATAAGAATCTTCGGAGCGAAGGGCATATACTCTTAGAGAAAATCTTTCGGCAAAGGCGAATCATTTTTGTTTTTAAGCTCTAAGTATGTCTTATCAGTGACCAAAACCAAGTTAGGATTTTATTAGGATATTTCTTCATAAGTCTGGGATTCTACGTTCCACCAGGTGATGCCTCATATAGCTCAAGAGGCAAGGTGAGGCGGACCCCGCGTTACCTTTGCCACACCCTACCCCCCCCCC